AGCCCTGCACCAGGTGCACGCTGCCCCCCCAGCGGCGGCGGCGGCAGCCCCACGTGCACGTCCCGCAGGCGCGGCCGCCCGCCCACGCCGCCGGCCGACAGCGCGGCGTCCAGCCCGCCGCCGCCGCCGCCGCCGCCGCCGCCGCTCCAGTCCACCGCGTGCGCCACCCGCAGCAGCGGGCGGTCTGGGGGCAGGCCCAGCAGGCGGTGCAGGGCCTTGCGGCGGGGCAGCTGCGCCTCCTCCTCCGCCTCTGTGCACGGCGCGGGCAGCGGGTAGAGCTGCGGGCGGCGGGGTCGGCACGTCCGGGGCGGGGGTGAGCAAGCAAGCAAGGTGGGCCTGCCGGGTGCTGCTGCACGCATGCCTCGACCGGCGGAGGCGGCCGCCTGGGTGGAGCGCTGCACGAGAGGTGGCGGGCACGCAGGCCGCCTGCCGCTCCCGCCTGCCCTGCCCTGCCACACACACACACACTGGCCCCCCCACTACGGGGCAGTCATGCCAAGCAACAGCGCCAGCAGCCACCCAGCCGCACCCACCAGCGTGACGTGGTGGCAGTAGCCGGGCGGGCGGAAGTGCAGCGCGCGCTGCGGCGGCAGGGCCGGCGAGGCGCCGGCCGCCGCCGCCTGCTGCGCGTGCGCCCGCATGCAACGCAGCTGCCGCCGCACGGCGGGCCGCACCACCGCGCCGACCGCGTCCGCGCCGGGCATGCCTGCCGGCACGTAGCACAGCACGTCCAGGCGCAGGGCCGCGTGGCGCAGAGTGTCGGCGCCCGGCTGCCAGCTCATCTGCGGCGCGACGCAGCCGGCGGCCGCCGCGGCCGGCGAGGCGCGCTGGTAGGGCCGCAGGACCAGCGCGCGGGTCCAGCTGGCGCCCAGCGCGGCAAAGGGCTTCGAGCCGGGCAGTGCGGGCTGCGTGGCGCCGCCGCCGCCGCCGCCGCCGCTGCTGCCGGGCAAAGCCTCAGCGACGTAAATGGCCGCCGGCCCACACAGCTGCTCTTCCAGATCCTCAAACGCCGCCTTGAGGCTTTCGGCGCCCCCTCTGTCGCTGGTGGTCACTACCAGGTCTGCCACGCACCGCACAGGCACGTACCCGGCTGCCAGCTCAGCCAGCAGGCCGTCACTGGTGCATGCTGCAGCAGCACCCACAACCTTCGGCTGGCAGCTGCCCAGCCCGCCGCCCTGCCTCACAAAGTACTCCAGCCCGCCCTCCTTGCCCACCACCACAGCCAGGCCACCTGGCTCGGTGCGAGTGTGCAGGTGGGAGGCGCCAGCAGCGCCGTAATACCCGACCACCGCCAGCGGCGGCGGCAGCAGCGCCGCCGCCACTTCTGCAATGTAGAGGAGGGTCGGGAGGGGACTTTGATTGGATTCCGGCCGTCTGCCCAGTCGCAGTAGGGGGCCGAGGGGAGAAGCAGGGAGCGGCGTGAGCGGAGCAACTCGCCTTTGGTGCTAGTGAGGTCGTCCTCCTCGCAGTGCAGCGCGCTGAGCACCATCGTCTGATTGCCATCGCGCAGGCCCACCAGCAGGCCCGCTCCCTGCGGCCGCCTGCTGCCGACAATCGACTCGGGCACCCCCTGCAGCACCTTGATGACGGCCTCCATGGCTGCCGATGGGTCAAGGCTGCACGCCATCGGGCGATGCGCCCAGACCACATGCTGCGCCCCGCCGCCGCCTCGCTGGCGCCGCCACCTCGCCGCCGGCAGCCATCCCTCACCCAAAGGGGAACGCAGCCCGTCCTTACACCCTGCTCTTTGAATCTCTGATCGGTAATGCACAGGCCAGAAGAGCCCTGCATCAGGCGTCAGCCCGCCACACCGGGGCACGCACCACCCGCCGCGCCGCCCCGCGGCAGCTCCAGCCCGGGCTGCAGCAGGTTGACCGCTATCGCGCCCAGCTCCCCATCGCTCAGCCCGATGGTCTTCAGGTAGTTGTGGGCGGAGCCGTAGCGCCCTTCCAGGTGGTCTATCGTGCTCTCCATCACCGCAGCCGCAGCCGCGATGATCTGCGGGCTCGGCGGGGTGCAGGGCGCGGGTGTGGAGGGCCCTGCCCACACAGCGAGTCGGGAGTCGCCACGGAAGGCCAGGCGTGCAGCCCCTTGTCACATGCACATGCACCGTCCTGTCCCACCCCCCCCCCACCTGCGCCCCACCTGCGCCCCACCTGGTCCGTGGTGAGGTGCTCAGGCAGGCCCAGCAGCTCGCGCTTCTCCCGCCCCTCCAGCAGCAGCGCCTCGGACAGAGCATAGTCGCGCACCACAGCCTGCGGGGGCGGCATCTGTCTGTGTGCGTGCGCGCGCGCGTGTGGATGGAGGGACAGGTGCCACACATTGCACGGAGCAGCAGGCAGGGCGGGAAGGGGGTCGGGCGGTGGCCCCAGGTGCGGGCGAGAAGGCGAGGGGGCTCTGGCGGGCCTGTCGCTGCCCACCTCGCGGTCCACGCCGCACAGCAGCAGCAGCAGCATGGCCACCAGGCCCGTGCGGTCCTTGCCTGCACCACAGCAGGAGACAAAACAACGTGGTGCAGCGGCAGGCCGACTCGAAGCATGCGGCGCAGCAGCCAGCAACAGGGTCTGCAGCACTCGTGCACCTGCACCCCGCCCAAGAGACTCATCCCCATGCTGCAGCCGCCTGCCGACCGCGTCCCACCCCGCGCCACCCCAGCCGGCCACCGGCGCGCACCGTGTATGCAGTGCACCATCAGCGGCAGGTTTGCGGGGTCGGCAAGCAGGCGCAGCGCATCTGCCAGGCGCGGCTTGGCCCGTTCCAGCAGGATGACGTACAGCTTAAGGTATCCCATCACTTCTGGGTCCACCACCGCGCCTGCCAGGCGGCGGCGCCGGGTGGAGGGGCGCATGGCAGGAGGGCGGCGTCAGGGTGTGCACAGCCGTCCCACGCGGCAGGCCACCGGCATCGGCCTCGGGCACATGCGCGCAGTGTTTGGGGCGATGCAGCCGCTGCAATGCCCACCGGCGACGATTGGCTCAGGGTGGCGCCGCCGCGCCGCCGCCCACAGCACCCGCGCCTGGATGCCCCGCGGCAGCTCCCACAGTATGCGCAGCGACACGGGGGTGGGCAGCAGGTCCACTGTGGGGCAGGCAGGCAGGGGGGCAGATGGGGTTGCAGACAGGCAGGCAAGCCGACGAAGACAGTGGGCAGGCCCGCAGGCGGCCAGGTAGCAGCAGCAGGGGGCAGCCTGGGAAGAGGCAGGCATGCATGGAGGCAGCCAGCTAGCAGCGGCAGGGGGCAGCCTGGGAGGGCAGGCAGGCGCACCGTGGTACACCCTGGCGGGGATTCCGTAAGCCTCGCAGCACGCCTCGGTGCAGCGGTGGCAGGGCAGGGCAGCAGCGTCGCCACCGTCGCTGGCCGCCATCCGCCTGCGCGCATAGCGCTTGCCGCCCAGGCATCCTGCCAGCCACCCCAGGCAGCCCAGCAGGCTGCGCCTGCACGGCGCATGGGCGGGGGACAGTGGTGGGACCTCGGTATGCCTGTTGACATCAATGGCGCAGCTGGGTGGCTCCTCCTCCCCTGCCTCCTCCCAGCTCCCACGGCCGGCCTCCCCAGCCCTCCCCAGGCAGGTCCAGCAGGCCGCGCTGGCACCGACTTGAGCGCCTGCTGCAGGTTGGCGCTGTCCGCCTTGCAGTGCACGGGCGGCTGCCGCAGGTCCAGCACCGCTCGGATGCCCAGCTGCTCCAGCTCGGCGGCGCTCACCACCTGCGCCCCAGGGCAGCGCTGCGCTTTGGGCAGGTTGAGGTGCTGTAGCTGCTGAAACCCGGCGGCACGGCATGGCGAGCGCTGGCGCGGCGCGCCTGTGGCGGCGGCCAGCCGTGCCTGTCCCCCTGTGCAGCCCGCTGCATCCCCACCTGGCTGCTGCGGAACACCCTGCCCGCCTGGATGGCGCCGCTGACGGAGTGCAGGTCCCGGAAGTTGACCCCGCGACCTCGCTCCCGGGCGCGCTGCGGCAGGCGGCACCCAGGGCGGCAGGGCCGAGCTTGCCAGCGGGACGCAGCAGGAGAGCCTCTGAGGGCGCTGGGAGGGCACACGCCCGTGGCAGCCGGGATTTCGGCGCTGCACAACCTCAGCAAGTGGCGCGGGGCGGCCCTGCAACGCTCACCGCTGAGGCGTCGCTGACGCTGGGCGTGGCCGGCTCGGCGCTTAGCCGCTGGGCGCCGGCCTCGTGGAAGGGCTGCTGCGCGGGTCTGGTGGGTGGGGCAGCCTTGGACGCCTGATCCTGGGCCGCCATGCCTTGTGGGCCCCTTGTGGGCACCTCCAGCCCTCCGTGAGGCAGGAAACAAGATGGATATTGGGGTGGCCAACGTTTTTATGGCGTCGCTGACCTGGCCCGCCGCCGCCGTTCGCCGCCGCCGCCACCGCCGCCGCCGAGCTCCTCATCCAGTGTAAAGATGAGCTATATTCCTGCAACCATCCTGCATCTTGCAAGGTGATGGGAAAACAGCCTGTGGGTCTGCTGGACTTCTCACGCAGTACCGCTGACTGTTGGCGCTGATTAGTTGCCTGCACGTACGGCTGACTGTCCGTGCTGATTAACTGCCTGCAAGCACAACACAGATTGTTTTCTGCTGCCGCCCCGCTCATCAAGAAGCATTTTCAGCATTTGAACATGGACGAGCTCCTGGCATCCTGCAGGTCGCCTGCAGCCCACCAAGCCGTGGTGCTGCGTCGGCTGCTCACAACCCATCGCAGCGTCGCCATCCTGCGCCGCCACGGCGTGGAGGTGCCCCCCAGCTGGGCCGAGGCTCCCCGCCAAGCGCCCCGCGAGGCCAGCACCGTCGCAGCCGCCGCCGCCGACGGCGCCGCCGCCGTGCCCGCCCCGGCCGACCTGCTGCGGCAGCTGCCGCTCACCTCCTACGGCGACTACCAGCCTGCCATCGAGCGGCTGCTGGCGGCGGGCAGGCAGTACGACGCCGCCGACCCCGCCAGCCGCCGCCGCTGGGAGGCGGCGGCCGGCGAGGTGTCGGGCCTGCCCGTCTTTGGCATCTACTGCACCTCCGGCACCACCGGCAGCCAGAAGCAGTTCCCAGCCAGCATGGAGGCGCTGCACAGCATGATCAGGGTGGGCCTGGTGCCAGCAGGCGCCTGGTCCCATGCGCCGCTGAAGCGTGCTGCTTTCCTCTGCTTGGCGGCGCTGGCCTCCCGGCCTCGCCCCGAATGCCTGCTGTCCTCTGCGCTCGGGCTGCTCACCCAGCGCTGGGTTGGATGCCTTGCCCTCCCTGCATTGCTGCAGGTGTTTGCGCTGATCCAGCAGGCCACCCCGCTGTCCCGCCCTCAAGCATCCAGCCCCAGGGTCCTCAGCTTCCCCTTTGCGCGGGAGCCACAGGTGGGCGGCCTCCCCCTGGCTGCGACCCCGATGCTGATGTGCTGCTGGCCAGCCCAGCCGGCCGCCGGCGCATCCGGATGCGTGCGGCGCATCGGCACAGAACCAGGCTGACGAATGCCACGCTGCTGCAGGTGCTGCCAAATGGCGTGGCAATGGGGCCCATGTCCACGGTCAACCTGCACCGAATGATGAGCATGAGGGACAGGTGAGTGAGTGGGGACGCCGGCCAGCCGGGGCGCTGCTGGCGCTGGCGCTGGTGCTGCAGCTGGATGCCATGGGCGGCTGCTCGTCTCGCCCCGCTGCAGCAGCTTAACTGCATCCCTGCCTGCCGCACTGCACCCCGCCGCCCTCGCCCGCCCGCCCGCAGCAACCCCACCCTGAAGCGCAGTGCTGCCACGGCGCTGAGCCCGCCGCTGGTGTCTGTTGGCTCTGGGGACGTCCACACCTGCTATTACCTGCACTGGCTCTGCGCCCTGCCGCACCGCCTGCAAGTCGTCAAAATAGTAGGTGCGCAAGCCTGCCTGGCCGTGTTCCCCGGCTGCTGGTCACACAGCGGCGGCGCTCTTGCAGGCAGCCAAGCTGCGCGCCCCTGCCAGCTGAGCGCTCACCTCCCATGCGCCGCGCCCATATCCATGCACACGCCTCGTGCCTGCCTGTGCTAAGCCTTGTGCAGAAAGCTTTGGTGCCAACCTGCTGCTGGAAATCAATCTGCTGATCGAGCACTGGCCCAGCCTGATGGCCGACCTGGGCGAGGGCCGCTGCTTCTCCTGGCTGCCGGCCGACGGCGAGGCGGCAGCAGACGGCGCGGCAGGCGCCCCGAACGCCACCGGCGGGCTGCCTGTCCCGCCTGCTGCCACCGCGGCGGCTGTGGATGCCCAGCTGTCGCCCAGCCCCGACCTGGCTCTGGAGCTGCAGGAGGTAGGTCAACGCTGCTGGCCTGCACACGTCAGGAGAAGGGGAGACTGCCAAGCACTGGCACCACTGCTTGGCTGCAGCGTATCAACTGCCAGGTTGCCTGCCCACCACCTGTGCAGGTGTTTGATGGTGGGCGTGCAGGCTTGCTGGAGCGCCTGTTCCCCAACCTGTCCTGCGTCAGCTGCATCCTGACAGGCAGGGAGCCCCGCCCCTGATCTTTGCCAAGCCGTGCTGCCGTCCCTGCTCTCCTCGCCCGCTGGCGCCCTGGCGCCTGCCCCATGCCTGCCCTGCCCCCCCTGCCCCGCAGGCTCCATGAGCAAGTACGTACCCCACCTGCGGGAGCTGCTGCCCACCGTCCCCTTCCTGTCCGAGGTGTACGGAGCCACTGAGGGCTTCTTCGGCTTCCAGAGCGAGGTGGCGGAGTTTCATGCGGCCCGCCGCGAGGCCGCCCCCGCCGATGCAGCCGCCGCCGGCTTTGCGGCGTTCCAGCGGGAGCCCGACGGGCGCAAGAGCTACGTGCTGATGCCCAACGCAGGTGTGTGTGTGTGTGTGCGCGCGCGCGCGCGCGCACGCCTGAGGCCAGTGCCGTGGCCGCATCACAGTGCTCCTGCCACGTGGCCCGCCCCCCAGCCAGGACACAGATGCTGCTTGGAGCCATGCTGCCGCTGCTGCCGGCACCCCTGCCTGCCACATGTGCAGACTGTTACATGGAGTTCCTTCCCTGTGACAGCCAGGAGCCCGAGGACGCGGGGGCCGCCACAGTCAGGTGCTTGGCATGCCTGGTGTGGCATGAAGCCCGCAGGGCCAGTCGCTGCGAGCAGATGCACCGCGGCATGGTGCACAGCGGTGGTGGTGTCATCCTGTCTCAGCCCCTCTCCTGGAATCCTGGCGCAGCATGGAGGAGGTGGAGGTGGCCAAGCGGTACGAGCTGGTGGTCAGCAGTATCATGGGCCTGTTCAGGCAAGCGCATGCGCAGGGCTGCCGCCGCCACGCCTGGCGCTGCAGAGCGCGGCATGCCAGCGCACACCCATGCGCTTGCGAGTGCGGAGCCTCACTCCCGCGCTGCGGCCAGGCCTCACCTACCACCTTGCCGGCCCGGTGGGCTGCCTGCCTGCAGGTACCGCATGGGCGACGTCCTGCTGTGTGTGGGCCACCTCGGCAAGACACCCAAGGCAGGCCCTGCCGAGCCTGTGCGACGCTGCCGCAGCAGTAGCGGCGCTTGGGCGCCGGTGCTCTGCGGTGCTTGCCCTGCCCTGCTTGCTTGCTTGTGGAACCGGCGGTGATCCAGTGGAGACGGCGGCGGGCCATGCTGCCGCCGCGGGTGGTGGTGGAGGGGCGGCGCGGCCAGGTGCTCAACCTGGTGTGGGAGAAGATGAGCGAGGCGGAACTGGTGGCAGGGGTGGAGGCGGCCGCCGCGGGGGCGCTGCCCGGCGGCGCGTGCGCGCTGCGCGAGTGGGCTGCGCGGGAGGAGGTGCACGCCGACGGCGGCGACACCGTGGGGCACTACGTCGTGTACTGGCAGCTGGCCCCGCTGGGGACCTCCGGCGGCGGCGGCCCCGCGCCCGCTCCGGCGCCCGCAGACGTGGCGGCGTGGGCGGCGCGGCTGGATGCGGCTCTGCGGGCGCAGTGCCCCATCTACGGGCTGGAGCGAGGGGGCAGGATTGCGGGCGTGGAGCTCAAGGTGGTGGGCGCGGGGGTGTTTGAGGAGGTCAGGTGGGCATAGCACACCTATGCGGCGCGTGGCCCGGCTGACCCGGCAAGCTCCTGTGGTGCAGCCCGCCCGCCGGGCCGTCGCCACAAGCTGCCCCCTATCCTGCCTTCCCTGTCCTGCCTGCCCGCAGGCACCTGGCATACCGGTCCGGCACCAGCCCTGTCCAGTACAAGCCGCCGGTGGTCGTGTCCAAGCCGGAGCAGGTGCAGGCGCTGGAGCAGCGCGTGCTGGTCGCAGCCGCCTGTGTATAGCTACCACTGCGGGTTGGTTGGTTCCGATGCTGGCCCTCGGTTGCGCGCCCGACTTGTGCTGGGCAACGCGTTCTTCAAATTAGCCCACTTGCATGCCCCGATTCAAGCCCAGATTGTATTGCACATGTGTACCCCATGTAAAGCCCCTGCTTGCTTGGTGCAGCTGGCGCCAGCTCGCATCAGCTGGGACTCAGGCCGGCTCGAGAGCTGCCGAATTGGCAAAGTTGCCAGCGGGATGAAGGTGGCAATTGTTCTCAGCCTTAACTGTGAGCTGAGACCCCCACCCCCCCCCACCCCCCCACCCGCTTGGAAAGGCTGCTGCCTTGATGCTACTGGGTTGATCATTTCCTGAGTTTGGGAAGTCAAGTTACAGCGGCAGCGGCAGCGCCCAGGGATGGCTACACCCGCATCTGCTCCATGCGGTAGTGCGTCACGCCGACGGGCGCCACAGCCATGAGCGCCGCCGACGCGCTGTCTGCACAGGCAGGCAGGCAGGCAGGCAGGCAGGAAAGCGTCAGAGCACCCCAGCTCAGCCCATGCCTGATGCTTGCGACGCCGGCAAGCAGGGCCGGGCTGGGCGGCTGCCGCAGGCGGGCAGCCGCCGGCGCGGGCGCACCTGGGTCTGCGTATGCGGGGCCCTCGGCGGGCGCCCCGGCCGCCCGCAGGTCTGCAAACTTGCCCTCGTGGTACCGCACCTGCACCTCCAGGGACGCACACGTAGCAAAGCACCTCGATCCGTCAACCAAATTCAATCGCTACCTGCCCCCCGGGAGGACGCCCCTGGCGACACGGAGCCGCAGAGCGCGCAGCTCACCTCCCGCAGGACCGTCGCCGTGCCCTCGGGCGAGTCAAACTGGCAGAACAGGCGGGTCTGCACGCACAGGCGGATGCCAGGAGGCAGCGCAGAGACAACCTTGTAACAGAGCAGCTGGCTCGCCTTGCTGTTGCGGCTGCCACATGCACAAGCATGCACACACACACACACGTGCACACACAGTGGCAGCCCCATCGCAGCCAGCTCCCACCTCTCGCAGCCGCACCATCACGTGGTCCACCCTCAGCCAGAAGCGCAGCAGCACGTACCAGCAGCGCGGCATGACGCGCACCTGCGCCAGGCAGGCAGGCGTGCGCGTGTGCGTGCACTGATTTCGCTGCGCCCGGAGCGCAGGCTCCCACAACAGATTGGCGGCGCGGCAGAGTGCTTGCCGGCTGGGAGGATGCCCGCCTCCATCCATGCCAGCAGCCAGCGCCGCCTGCCGCGCATGCCCTGCCCTGCCCCCCCTGCCCCCTGCTCTGCTGGCGCCCCACCTTGAGTGCGAGGCGCGAGGAGCCGTGGTCGTCCAGCTCAGACTCGTACAGCGCCAGCTCATCGTAGTACAGGATGGGGTCCCGGCTGGTCAGCAGCGCGCGGTTCACCTGCGCCGTCGTCGCCTCCCACCGCCCCGCCCCCGTCGGCCCGCCGGCGCAAGGCCCGTCCGCCGCTGCCCCCGCCGCTGCCCCTGCTGCTGCTCCTGCTGCCCCTGCTGGTGCTGATGCTGGCGGCGCCGCCGCCTTGGGGGGGTCGCTGCCGGCGGCGCCGGCGGCGCCGCCGCTGCCTGTGTTCACGGTGCCTGCGTATGCTGTTGTGTAGGTCCTGCAGGGCGGAGGCCCACGCCAGCTGCTGCGTGAGCCTCCGCAGCTGGGGCGTGTGAGCCGCAGCCGTGGACGTGGGGGCAGCAGCGGCGCCAGCGCCAGCGTGGAGGAGCAGCAGCGGCAGCGGCAGCGGCAGGCAGCCCAGCCCCCCCAGGCCGGCCTCCACCTCACCAGTCGTATTCCAGCGTCTGTGCAGCGTGCGCCTGCACATCATGCTGCCGCGAGCGCAGCCACTCCTCCGACTCTCC